AATCATGTCAACATTTGCTGTCCCACTTATTTAATCATGTATTTATCTGATTCCCACTTTTTTAATCATGTCAACATTTGCTGTCCCACTAATTTAATCATGTATTTATTTGATGCTTCACTTAAATAATCATGTCAACATTTGATGTCCCACTAACTTAATCATGTAATCATTTGCTGTCTCACTAATTTAATCATGTATTTATTTGATATCCAACTTAATCATGTCAACATTTGATATCCCTCTAACTTAATCATAATTTATTCTTTGCTGTCCTTTAACATTGCTCATTTACTGTCCCAGAAATTTAATCATGTCATAATTTACTGACCCACTAATTTAATCATCTTATCTTTAGCTGTTCTGCCAATTTAATTATGTAATCACTTACTGTCCTGCTAATTTAATTATGTAATCAATTTCTGTCCAACTGATTTAAGCATGTAATTATTTCCTCTCTTACTAATTTAATCATTTTCAGTCCTTCAATTTTAATAATTTCCTGTCATGGTAATTTATTCATCTGTTCTAATAATTTAAAACCCCAGTGCTACAGCAAAACATCTGTGTGTGTGTGTGTGTGTGTGTGTGTGTATATATATATATATATATATATATATATATATATATATATATATATATATATATATATATATATATATATATATATAAGTAAAATCATTTCAAGGCTGAATCTTGAAAGATGTTGGTCCTGACATCAGTAGGTTTCATTTAAACCAGGTAACATTGATGTTTGGTCAGTTTATGAGCCTTGTTATTTCTCCCTGGACCAGAGAAACCCAGCTGGGTAAACTGATTTCAAACAAACATAAAAACACATTGTGAACATAACAAGTCAACACCATGCCATGTTTGATTGTCTTCAGCCCCAAGTTTGCCTTTCAAAATATTGTAGCACCCCAGATAAATGCCAGTATTTGCCCAATTTTTTTTTTTTTATCTATCTTACAAATCTCAAATCTACTAATAAAAGCTGGCTTGCCTCTCTTCATTCTTTCTCAAATCAATTTGTATGGAATGTGTGAATGTTAAAGGAATTTATCAAAGTTATCACATCACTATTTTTGGAGCACTCCTGCAAAAGAATGGAATTACAAGCAACTTTATTGACTGGATTATTTTTGTTGTTCTGGGGCTTTATGCCATTTTTCAGCACACAATAAGCTATACATGGCAGCCAGTATTAATGGTGTAGGAAGAAACCTGAAATCACTGGAAAGAACCATCAACCCACTAGAAGCTACTGGTAAGCTTTCTCACATATCCACTCCACGGAATCCTGGACTCCTGGTCTCCAACCCACACAGAGGTGAGATGGCAGTGATCCATAACAACGGACAGTGCATTAGACCACTCATCACTTGGGGCACCTTTGACTGAATTAAGGGGTGGCACCTCTTAGTTCTAAAATGAATATTTAAACATCATTTTAATATAATATCTTGATTGTCTTAAAGAATGGTTTATGTTGATAGCACATATAACATTTCCTTCCTTCCAAACCTTAATTAGACTGAAAGAATAGTGAAATTAATGATAAATGGTGGCATTGGAGCTTTTATCATTTGTTACAGTATATTTCTTTTCCTGTCCCACTATCAAGTCAATAGCAATTAACAGCAGACTGGTTAATTATGTAGATTATTACCTCACTGTAAGGCCATTCATTATATGGTTCCTTTTTATAAGGATTTCATTTTAATATGTAATGATAAATTTATGTGTATCATATAGTTCAGTATTAGGCACTTATTATTACTGCTTATTACTTATTACTAATAATATTACTTAATACTGCTATTATTACAAATTATTACTGCTATTATTACTTAATACTACTATTATTTATTACTGCTATTATTACTTCCATGGATAGCATTATAATGAGTGTGTGGTATGCCAGATCTGACCCTCTACATATCAAAAAGACTGCTCTGGTGGCCTTGTGGTCAGAGCATCTGCCTTGGATGCCGGAGGTTGCAGTTTCAAACCTAGGCTGAGTCATGCCAAAGACTTATAAAAATGGTACTAACAGAGGTATCCCTCTAGGAGCTCAGCATCAAGAGTTTAGTGTTAGGATTGGTCAGCCTCTTGTCAGAAAAATGTGACATGTCTGTGGCATGATGCCTCAGTGCTTGACATCTTTATAAACTAACACTCTGCAGACACTGTAGCAATATGACTGAAAAATTGTTAAAGCTATGTTAAAAATCCTAATCACACATGCACATATCAAGAAATATTATACAGTGTACAACAACTCTGTCAGATCAATAAAGATTCATGTAGTAATGTGCTAGTTTTTTTTTTTCTCTGTTTGAAAGTTCAGTTATCAATTTATTTGATTTTAGGCATTCTATTTTTTTTTAAATTAAATTTTGTAACTGTCTTTTATGTGTTCAGACTGATTTACAACAAGACTTTTAGAATACTATTCAATAACTATTTAGTTTCCACTCTACATGTATTTCTAAATGAGAAACATTTGTGAGGTGAAGTTGATTCCATTTGCAATAGGCCCAGTGGAGAGTGGAGAGAATGTCAGCATTTCTCTATGTGACTTTCATGTCCATTGACAGAAATATCATTACTTGTGGTAATTATGGAAATCATGTGACTTTCATGTCCATTGACTGAAATATAATTACTTGTGGTAATTATGGAAATCATATGCCTTTCATGGGAAATCATGTGACTTTCATGTCCATTGACTGAAATATCATTGTGGTAATTATGGAAATCATGTGACTTTCATGGTAAATCATGTGACTTTCATGTCCATTGACTGAAATATCATTACTTGTGGTAATTATGGAAACCATGCACTATTTAAAGAATACAGATAACCAAAATGGCTGCAGCCATGTGCTCAAAAATGTTCTTGAATTTTTCCAAACTTAAACTATTTTTAGCAGTTTTTTTTAATATGGAAAATGAATTTTGTCAGAGGAGGCAATGCCAGCTTCAGAAAGTGCAGTAAATGAATTATAAAATATTAAAAGTGAGAATAAATATAAAAAGTGAGAATAAAAAGTTTTTTTTTTTTTTATTTACCCTTGAAGCTCAGGAAATGAAAATGACAACGTGGAGTTAGGGGTCTTTGAATAGACAGGGCAAATGAGAGGGGGGTCAACTGTGAATATAATGCCCAGGACCAGGTCTTGTAAGGAGACCTAAACCAAACAGCACTTTTTAATTTTATAAAAGAAAAATTTTATTTGAAGAAGAACTAGGAAAGACCTGGGTATTTCTTTCCCCAGGGCCCTTGTTTGCTTTTTACAGCTCTGTGGATTATGGTACACATCTCAATCATCTCAATATCTCCAACCCAAATTATATCCATCAATCATACACCAAATAAAGGTAGACCCAGGAATATCATTGAGGAAAAACTGAAACAAATGTTATCAATATGAATCAAATAATGAAACTGTAAAGTGAACAATAGAGAAAAACTCATCTTGTAGCAGATTATAGATGTATCTGCCATTTGTTGGCATAAAAAGGTGCACGCAGCATTTGTAGTGCTGTAGTTGCAATGATGCTTGGAGAATTTCTGGCATTGTTTCTTATCAAAGATCATTTAAATGAGTTTTTGATGCATTTATTTTTATGGTTACCAGGATTTGGGGAGGAAATGGACCAAGATAAATATTTACCTTCTTGACTACCAATAAGAAAGTTTTTGATCTTTTATGCCATATTTACCTGCATGTAAACTGAACTTGAAAGAGAGATTGAGAAAAGTGTAACAGCAAGGAAGTAGCCAGATACCTATGTGGAAAAACTGTCCCTCAGAACATAAATATCAATGAGAAAAAGATGCAGTTAAGATGTAAGCTTTAGAATTCAAACAAAATGAGGATGTATTTAAAGATCTAACACAAAAGTTATCAGTTAGCTTTCATTTGCTTTGATTCTTCTTGTAGTACTTGAAAAACACAAGTTTGCTTATCAGCCAGTAAGTTTTAAAAAAAGACTGATAAGAGATAAGCCACAAATGTATTCTTGTACTTTACATGTGTTGGTCATTAATCATCAAAATAGGGGAAAAAGTTTAGGTATTTCTCCCATGATAATATCATGCTAAAGGTATGTTTTTCCCACTTTGAGGAACTTGTTGCAGACATTGGATATCCAAAAATAATCCCATCCCAACTTCTGACCAGAGGTGAAGAGAAATGTCTGCAAACATTTTTTTCTCACTATTTTTCAAGCTGAAGACACATGTCAAGCATCATTCATTGAACAGATTATTTAGAAAAATAATACGATATTGTATCATAAAGCATCATTTGGTTTCTATATTAAAATCTGTTATTTTATTTAAAATTTCTTAAAGGTTATTGGATATTGCTGTTGTTGGCTTTTTTAAATGGCATTTTTAAATATTGGTTGTATTATGTTGAATGGGACTTTTTCCAAGGATGCTTTGAGGCAACTGACCGAGGCTTGCCTGGTGGGTATCAAACATGGGACCCTTGGATTACAAGTCTGACGCTCTAGCAACTGAGCAACTGCAGTGCCCTTCGAAAAGGTGCATAAATTACCCTCTTATCACATAACATCAATGTATGATAATGATCTTGGGCAGCGTGTATTTATGTGTGTGTGTAATTTAGATTCTTAATGTAGTTTTAACAATTTTTCAGTCATATTGTTACCATGTCTGTAGTGTGGCAGTTTATAGTGATGTCTATCACTGGGGGATCATACTGCAGACATGTGGCATGATGTCCCACCCAGTCACATTATCCTGACACCAGGTTGACCATTCCTGATACTAACCTCTTAATGCTGAGCGCCTAGCGAGGCAGCTGTTAGTACCATTTTTGTAACTCTTTGGTATGACTCGACTGGGAATCAAAACCACGAACTCTCGCATCCGAAGCGGATGCTCTAACCACTAGAGTGGTTAACCTCTTAATGCTGAGCGCCTAATGAGGCAGTTTCTAATGCCAGTTTTAGAAATCTTTGGTATGACAGGCCAGGGTTCGAACTTGTGACCTCCTGCATCAGAGGCAGATGCTCTAACCACTAGGCCACCAGTGATCTTATAATACCATATGGCTGATTATTAAATTTCCACTTAACATTTGGAATCATTCCAATCGAAAAAGGCATTTAACAACCTGTTATGATTTCAAGCAATCACATGAGCTAAGCTATATTTATAGAATAGTTTTAAATTTCATTCTTGGAATACTGTGCTTTCATGGTTGACATGTTGTCATTTTTCGTCTGAACTAATCTCTCTGAACTAATCTCAGTTTGTATAGTTGGGTAAAAGAAAACATGCATCAAACAAATCCTAGTTTTGTGTGGTTGGGTGCCAAAAAACGTTTATGAAACCAGTCTCAGTTTGGGTTTGGGTTCAAAATGATGTGCATTAAATTAATTGCAGTTTATTTGCTTGATGCCAGAAACACCTATCAAGCCAATCCCAGTTTTTATAGTTGGGTACCAAATACAAGCATCTAACCAATCCTAGTTGTTTTGGGGTACCAAAAACATGCAACAAGCCAATCCCAGTTTGGTTGAGTACCAAAAATATGTATCAAACAAATCACAAAAATGATTATATTCCAATGTATGTACATTAAAAACAAAATGCATGGACTGAAAATAATATGTAATATTAGGTTATTATTAAAAATAAGTGTTCTCAAGTGAAATCAATTTCTTTGTGACTGTTGTGTAGGGTATGGATTTTAGTCCTAACCTCACTTGTGGACCAGACTGCCTTTTTGACCACATTATTCAAACTGAAAGGATTGAAGTAGAAATTGATACCCCTTCAAAATGTTTTCATTATCAAGATATTTCATCTTAAAGGTGAACAATGGGATTTAAAGAATTGGTTCTCACTTCAATGCCATCACAGCACCATCACAGCATGCAACCCAATGAATAGTGAAGTGCCATTCTATGTTCTATACTCACTTATAAATTAAGTCAAATATCACATAACAAAGATCCTGATCTACATATAATAATGCACCTGCTGGTTAGAGTCCATGTTTGTGCTACTGATTAATGCTAACAAGATACACAGAGCAAGATCTGCTGGCATATTGTGCACATCTGAGTCTGTGCAGTTTGCAGTAGAGACTTATAAGCAAGTGTATATGGTATGATTTGACTCAGATAGGATAGGGCTATATTCTGCCCATTCAAACTCAAGTGGTATGCTTTAGTAACCCAGCAGTGCTGTTGCTATATATGCTGCAAGACTGAGATCAAACCTGTGCCAAACATATATTATTTAATGTCATACAGTAAAAAAAAAAAATATTAGTTAGATTGAATTTTTTAACTGAGACCATGCAGGTGTTTGAAAACATTTGATTTTGTTTGTTGTTCTTATGGTGGAGCTTGGATCCTTTTTTTTAATAATGGTTTGATAAAACTTATCCAGTGTGTGGGCTAGAACACATGGATGCCTAATTTAGAGCTATGTGTTGTATACCAACACTCCAAAACCATTAAGGTCCTGGCATTTACACTGTGCAGGCAAGAAATTTTCAATCTTATTATGATCCTTGTTTGCCTTTCATACCTGTTAATCTAAGAAAAATGTCATGCTAATATTCTGTTAAGTTCATGCTTAAATAGTTCATTTAACTCCATAGCCTACCATGTGTTGCTGTGCTGTAGAGCATGAAAGGTCAAAATAAAAATAATCTTATGTTTGATACTAATGTAATGATACAACATTGTTTTTAGTAATTAAATCATATTACATGTACATGAAAATTCAATCACGAAATAAATGTTTCACAATTAGTATCTCCGAACACAGAGCTTGCAGTTTTCTTGGTTCTAATAATTTATATGGTATGTTTAGAAAACTAAGAGACTTCAAACAAGCCAGTCATTCTGTTGAACTGTGGAGGTCAGTGTGTGTCAAGATGTTACCAATCACCAATTATTACATCTAGCAATAATTTGTACATTTTTCAGTCACCAATTTTTACATTTAGGTTAATGGAATGCTAATGTACATGAAATATATATCTTTTCTCTTGGAATTTGAGAGATTCAACAGCTGTGTAGGTTTGGCATTAGCTCTGACAAATTAATAAAAGTGAAAAGATTTGACAGGAATTCAGAATCTTTTATATTACAGCAGGTACAGTTAATAAACCTTTAAAGGTTAGAATCCTAACACTTGCTTTTGAGCTGTATATTCTGTTTTTCTCTTCTCTGCCTGAATAAAATTGTTTTTTTTTTCTGTGTAGATCAACACACAAAATATTTTGATAGATTTCAACTAATATTTGTTTTATTGGTTATTTTTGGAAAGTAAGTTTTTTAAACAGTAGTGTTTAAATGTGATACCCAAAACATTAAATATTTGGTGAACCTCAAGAAAAACCAAAAAAATCATGGTGGCCTATTGGTTTGAGCATTATCTTTGGACAAGGGAGGACAATGTGGGTTCAAAGCCTGGATGAGTCATACCAAAGACTTTTTAAAATGGTACAAGCAGCTGTCTCGATAGGTACTCAGCATTAAGAGTTAGTGTTAGGACTGGTTGGACTGGTATCAGGATAATGCAGCTGGGTGGAACATGATGCTACATGTCTGCGGCATGATGTCCTAGTGCTAGACTTCACTATAAACTGCCTCATTGTGACATCATAGCGATTGTTAAGCTACATTAAATATCCAAATCACACACACACACACACAAAATAACAGTGATAATTATTAGCCTTCAAAATCAAGAAAACCTGGGCAATCTTATATAAATGTAAGTTAACATCTACAGAGATTGTACATAATTTCCTTCATTTATACACATGTATGATTGTATTTTCCAGTGTCACACAAGAGTGGAGAATATCCCCATCCTTAACCCTTTCCCTCAAAGAGTGTATGCCTTTTTAGCACTTCGATACACATCTAGCAAAGTTACACAATGCAGTCCGATACTCATAGGCCTGTTAAGCAGTGAAGTGTATGTTATGCTTAACAGCAATTTTAACCATTTTACATTTTTGGTAAACATACATTATGTATGGAAAGTTTTAAGAGTAAAATACGGTCGTTATAGCAGTATAATTTTTTTCACAAAATAATTTTGTATTTGCTTCAGAATAATGAGAGAACTTATTCACTATAAAATCAGTGAAGCCACGTGATCAACCATAGCGGGAATTTCACATACTCAAAATTTATACATTCTTTGCGTCTACATCACTAAATCAGCTAAATTTGAAAATTTTTAAAAACTAATGGCTTCTTACATCAGTATCAGAGCCTTTACCTAAGTTATTGAAGCTTTCATAGTTGTGATTCTAATTGTAAAATCTCGAGCAAGTACTGAGTAGTTGAGATTCAACGCGAGTAAGTTTTGAACGATATAGGTTAAATAGTAGATTTGATCAGAACATAAACAGTGACCACATGATCTGATGTAATGGTCATTCTCACCAATGAATGTAGTATCAAATAGGTGGTTTTCTCCATAGGTCGAGCTACAAAACCTGCTCAAAATGACTGCTGCTTACAGAGTTGCCAAAAGGCGCTTATATGAAAATCAGGTAAATTGCCAAAAAGCGCCTGTATTGGACTTCTGTCTTAGGTATGGTGCACACAAACTGGCAAAATCTCCCTTTTTTCCATCATTACTTGAGTATTTTATTGTAGTAATTGAGATATACATTAATTGCAACAAGTTTATGTACTTAAACAGGGCCCTGAGTGGCCAAGTGGTCTAAAGTGATCACTGTTACGGATTACTGCCATCTCACCTCTGTCTTCGTGGGTTCGAGTCTCGGGCTTGGCCACTGTGGGTATGTGAGAAGGCCTGCTAGTAGCTTTTCGTGAGCAATAGTTATTTCCAGGTTTTCCCCGAGTTCTTCCTCCACCAGTTATACTTCTTCCATGTGTAGCCTATCTTGTGCTGAAAAATAGTGTTAAACCCCACAGCAACAACAAGAACAACAACAACAACAGCATCCTTAAAAGAAACCAGAAATAAAATTTTTCCTTTTATGTATGTAATTCTCTACAAATTTTAATTTGACTGTAATGTTTAAAAATTATATATCATATGTGGGTAGTGATTATATTGTGCGGAAGATACCATGATTCCATAAATTGCCTAGTTTTTCCGAGTTTATATGAGATGGCAGATCACATGGTCACATGATCCAATACTAGCCAGACCTGAAACAGAAACAAGGCAAGCGATACAGAGGAAATCAGATTTGGGTTGAACATTAAAAATTTGAATGTTTCCGAGAGATGCTCATAACTTAATCTGTTGAACTGTGTTAAGAATTTAAAGAAAAGCAAAGTATATTTAACATCAATACTTATACATTGTGTGCTGTGCAAAGATATGATAAGGATTAAGTGATGGTGCCCAATGTGAAAATTAAAAATTTACCACAATGCAATAAATTCATGTAAGAAGAATGAGATTCAATTGTATTATATGTAAATGATATATTCATTATCTGTCACCAACAAGCCACCTAAGGACTAATATTTTGAAAATATACATCCGACACTGAAAAACTGAGATAATATTGAATTATAGGCCGACTTTTGTGTGAAACAATATTCAGTACCAGAGAGGTGTAAAAAGGCATTGAGAATGGTTTTCATTTGTCATAAATTAAGCATTTAAAAAAAAAAAAACACAAATAAATCTGCAAAATTAGAAATCATAAGTAATTAATTTAAAGATTAAGAAGCTTCCTTCTTTTGGTTCAATTACATGCAGGCTACAGTTAGCTTTTTGACAAATCAGATAATTTATACATGTCAGATATAATAATTTATGTACTGTTCTGGTCAGTGCTCAAAGAATATTCTTTTTAGGCACAGATCTCAGGCTATTGACTTGAATGAACTCACAAGCAATGAATGAAATTCCACAAGACTGACTGGATTTCAAGGGTATTCCAACACCTACCTCCTGATCTTGTAATATCTCTCAATTCTTAGCGCCTCACAGTCTGAAAGTGTCTCTCAAATATATTTTATACCTGGTAGAGCCTCTACAGCATCCTATAGCTCAGGGCCCCACTATGTCT